TATTACACTTAGTAATAAGTCTGCTATAAGGGATTTTGACTAATCTGTTTGAATAATCTGAAGTTCTTAAGTCAAGAATTTTATTAAAATAAATTTTAAGTGTTGATGAAGATGGAGAGTCAGTGATAGTTTGAAAAAGTACTGGCCAAAAAATGCTTCAGAAGTTAGAATGTAGGGAGTAGGATAAGGTATTGGTAGGTTTGAAAACTAGAAAAATGTTTTTAGCTTTCCTGTGTTGGAGAAATATATTGATAGGTTGGTTGGTTAATGGTGAAGATGAGATAATTACTTGTAAGTACATTTGTAATGTAGCTAAAAAGGAGCCCTGGAGTTCTTTAATATTGTTAAGTAAGATATCTGAGTTTGCACATTTGATATGCCAGATAGATTTGAGATTGGTGATGTTTATTTCTTTAAAGCATGGTTGTATTAAGCATGAGCATGAAATTATTTTCTTGTTATCCAGTAAATGGTGCTGGCCCCTGATGGTTGTTAATGAAATGGCATTTATTTGGACTTTAAGAAGATTAATGGAGCTGTTAAACAAGAAGGTCCAGAATTTGATGTTGTGTCTTTTGGAAAGAAAAGTTTAGTCACCTTTGATTGTTTGAGAAGTGTTTGGAATGAAGGAAAACCAGTTAGGGATTGGACCAGTAACTATGTAACCTCTGTATGTATGCAATTCTTCTTATGTTAGTTTAGTGTTGTACTTATGAACATAAGTATTGTGAACAGTTTTAATGTTGGTGTAAAATAAAGAGAGAGTGACAGATTTCTTGAGTCTGTTAATTAATTCTATTGAGTACTTATGATTATTTAAGTTGAAGGGACATAAAAATGGACAGATTCAGATTTTGTATCTTTTTGCTAATATGGTGGCAGAAATAAGTCATGACTCCTTAAAGTAATAGGGAAAACAGATTGGGCAACATCAGATAGCCTGTGCAGCCTGTATCAATATGATCTCTCTTGAGGTAAATGTAGGGCTCCTAACGATACCACTTCGATACTACTTCGATACCAGTTCGATACTTAAATTTACTATAAAAACTCACAACTCATATATTAAATTTACTATAGATCGGTACCATTTCGATACCAGTTCGATACCAGTTCGGTACTTTTTCGGAATCCTAGGTGTGATCCAGTCTCTAGGAACCTTTCTAAAGTATTTATTTTTAATTTTTGTGATTGTTTGTTTGAATTCTGAAGAGTCTCTATTTAGTGATGTCGAGTTCTGTTTCAATTACTGTGAAGTCATCTGGTATTTTGGATTTATTTGATTGGCTAAGGTTGTCCTTGATCTATTCTGGACCTAAGGGAAGTTTTACATTGAATTTGTTCTTTAGGTCTTCAATGAGATTGTCTGCCTCCTCTTGCGTGGTGGATGGAAGAAAAATAGAGTTATTTTCACTGTACCAGTGTGAAGAAGGAAGTGGCCACTTTACTTTGATGTAGTCTAAAGGAAGACATTTGACCGCATAATTATTTTCTTTTAAGAGCTGAACTCCTTTCTTGAATTCTTCTATAGTATTGACAACTGGGAAGTATTTGGCAAGATTGGGTAGCAGATCTCTGTATGAAGGGAGAAGATGTTTCTTTGGTGAAGAAAGGTCGAAGTAAGACTCTGGTAGTTTTTGGGTACATAGTAGTGTTCTCTAAGTTTATCAACACAGAATTTGAGATCTGTGAGTTTATATCTCTCCACCAAGGGAAACCAGTTGGCAAATTCTGGTGAGAATCTTCAGGTTTGTCAAGTAGGTCAGGTCTTTTGACGAAGTATGAGGTAGATAAAGTGTCAAAATTGTAGAAAGCCTTAAGGCTGCCTGCAACCTCGCTTGTGTCATTTCTTGAGATAATCAGGATACTTTTGGGAATTCTGATTTTGATTGAGGTTGGGATGTCCTTAGAGTCATCTGGTAGTGCTGGTAAGTCTTTTTGGATATGCTCTTTGCATATTTCATAAAGTTTCTGATAGTCAATTTTCTGGAGAGAGGGGTCAAGAAAGAAATTGAATCCATATTCTAGTAACTGGGTTACTTGCCAATATTTGAGAAGTGCGAGATTAGTTGATCTGAGATAAGCGATAAAGAGTGCTTTGTTAATAATTTTTTTGATCTTGTTTCTATTAGTTCGGATGATATACCCCAAATTATTGGCCTGACAGTAGTTGGTGTGGAACTGTTTTTCAAGCTTTTCATATTCTTTCTGATGTTGGCCCTTGATTAGTTCATCTTTTGTGAATGTTCTAAAGAAATCACGGTCTCTGTACTTGATTTTGGAGAGTATGCCTTTAAGAGAGGTTCTTGGTGTGCCTGATGATTTATTTTTGATTTTAAGGAAGCGGCCGACAATTGATTTGACATTTCTATCACAATTATTAATTTCCTCACATAGCTCTAGGATTTTTTCTTGTTCATTGGGTTGATTAGTACCTCTGATATCAGGAGTGCTAGTGTTATTGATGTTTTGAGAAGCTTCTAGCACTTTGTTAGTTTCGTCAGCCCAGAAGGTAGGAAGAGATTCCAGGGTTTCCACTGATTGGGTTGGAGAGGGGTGTTCATCAATTTCCATGTTTGTTGTGACTATTTGTCCTGGTTCTTGTAGTTGATCATGGCTGGGCATACCGTGGTCTTGAATTATATGTTGTACTGTGAGATTTTTATTTGGTGTTGCACTGGTATTGAATTGGTCATCGCTGTGTTCAAGAAGCACTGCATGAGGACTGAACTGATTGACATTATACTCAGGGTACTCGCATGTGTTGTTTCATCTTCACAATCAAGTTGCATACTATTGTCATTGATCATTTCCCAATTAGGGCAGGAGTGTTTGGAGGGGGTATTGACATTTTGGTTTTTCACTCCAAGGAGAAAGTTTTGGCTATTTCATAAATATTGATATCAATTTTGTTCCAAGAGACATGAAGCCTATAGATGAGTTTCTGTTTGATTAGTGCTTTCATGATTCCTTCTTTATTACTGTCAGATAAGCAAAAAGTGTGTTGATATTCGAAAAAAGAGTTCATTGTTTCCAAAGACATAGGGTTTAGATTGCTGGTTTTGACTTCAGTGTAATGATTTCTGAGCCTTTTTTTATGTACTTCGAAGGAGACTGTGATTACTTTAAGGACTTCATGACCATTTTTTTGGAGACATACTGGTGTTAACTATACTTTGGGGGTTTTCAAATTTTGGAAGACAAGTATTGGCAATGGGAGGGGTGGTATATACAACATTGGTACTGTTGTTTTTGTGGAAAATTACGGCAAGGTCTTTGTCAACATCAGTAATAAGAACATCTAGTAGAGTGTGAGTTGGTTCAATGGGCTGATCCTTGGAGGATGAAGAAGACCCTCCAGGATCCTTTACTGTTTTTTTTAAAGAAAAAATTTTTGGTTTCCTTTTTTGGTAATTTTTTTCAGATGCGGGTTGATCAAGAAAGAGTTTTTTTTAAGATGTTTATAAAATATTATTAATATATTATATATTTATAAATTTTAATTAATATTTATAATAATATGATTTTAAAATCCAAAAAAAACTTAAAATTATTAAATAAAAAATTTATATATTTAAATTAATAAAAATATAAAATTCTAAAAAAAAAATAAATATAATAATTCTAATATTAATTTGTTATATACTATTAAATAAAATTAAGTAAATATCAAGTTATTGTTTATTATATAAGTTTATATATTTTAATGATTATAATATATTAATTTTAAATAAATATTTTTTACATAATTTCAAATATTTAATTTCATATATTTTTTGGTTTTTTATAATTTAAATATTGTTAATTTTGAAAAATTTAAAACATATATTAATTAAATTGAATTTTTTGGATAATAATTTAACAATAAGCAATTAAATTATGTTTATTTTTTTATATTTTTGAAAATATTTTAATATTAAAAATTAAAAATATTTTTTAAATAAATAAAATAATAAATTTATTTAATATTAATAAATATAACTTTTATTTACAATAATTTATTTAAATAAAATTATTGTAAATTATAAATTATTTGGCTTTTGTTTTTAACAAGTTTATTAAACTAAGCAAATTTGAAGTATTGAATAAATAAATTTATTTTTTTATTGTATTTACAGTGTATAAAAAATATAGAGTAATTAGCAAAGTAATATTAATTTTTAGATAATATAAAAAGTAAAATTTAAAATTATTGAATAAAAATTAAAATTTTGATTAAAAAAATAATCAGTATAGGGTCTATCAGGTTATTTATATTAAATAACTTCTTTATTAATTCTGAATTATTTAATATGGTTAATTATGCAACCAGTCAATATATTGAAATGTTTGATAATCTATAATTTTTGAATTATAAAGATTCTTCTGTTATAAATATTTTTATACTAAATGAGATAGTTTATTTTTAATTTCTTTTATATAATTTTTACATAAAAGATAATTGTTACCATCAAATAGAAAATTAGTAACAAAAAAATATTAAGGTAAAATCAGACTATATAATATATTAAGGTTTCTAGGATGTTCGGAATTAATAAAATTTTGAGATTAATCAAATCAAGCAAAAGAGACAAAAGTGATTTGTTTTATAAAACTAATGTAATTTATTTATAAAGAAAGTTTAATATTGTAATTTCTGAAGAAATTAGAAACAACAAATTTACCATTTCACTAAAGCAGTCAGATAAATTAGAATCGTAAATAGAAATGAATATTCTAGTAATTTAAATAATATTGGCGAATTAAAAATTTTAGGGTGTTAATATAAAAATAAATCAATAATTTATTCAATTTTATGAGCACTGTAACATTAATTTTTAAGTGTTACTGTATTTAAAATATTTTTAATGTTAGATAAAAAGAAGTTTTTTATCAAACCTTTATCATTCGTGAAACTATGAGACAATAGGTTCTTAGGGATTTTAATAAAATTTCTTCATTTATTTATTATTGTGACAAACATTAACGCTCTATACTGCCTAATTATTCTATAAAAATAGTTATCTTAAGAAATCCGCAGCCTGTTTCCACAGTAAACTAATATCTCTAGCACTCTGTTCGTCATAATACAATCTATAATTCGATGGTCTATATTGAAATTCTAGGACCTCATTTAAATTTTTCAAGCTATACGCTTCTCGAATGGTAAACGTTAGTCTCTTATTGGATTCAAATTTATTGGGTGCATTTATATCGCCAAGTATTCCGTCATCAAGTATCTGACCACCTGGATACGACGAAAACGATAATGGCTGACCAAGAAATCCTCCTACTGTGGCCGTTCGATATTGTCCAATTTCAGCAAAAAATTGTGTAACCAATGCACAAGCTGATCCACAATGACCATTTGTTAGGATAATTATTGAATCATTAGTCCACGGAAATTGTATTGGGCTTGTACGTTGATCTTTTATTATCTTTAATAATAAGTCAGGTAGCTGATCGTTAATTAAAGCCGAGTACCGATTTGTGGTGCCACCACGAGTAAGATTTCGGTTACCAATAAATTGATCAGCACTGGTGAAGGGCTTCTCGGTTTCAAATGAATTTCGAGAACTTGCTTGATAAAAACCTCCATCACTTTCGGGTTGGCTTTCACTTCGAATCGCTTGTTGGATTATTGGTGGGACTCTAAGATCTGTTGGAAATATGAAGTGCTCGGAAGGAATTATCAGCCCACCGAGGAAAATTGAAAATTTGAGAAGCCCACCAGGGTTATTTGAAAAGTCAATCACAACCTATAGATATCGTCAGACAGGTTAGTTTTGCAAAGTAACGTAGAGGCTTGAAACCGCTACTATGTAAATATACAAATACCTTTTTGACCTTTCTTTTAACTAACTCCTGAAAGGCTCCTTGGTATTCATATCCAAAAGAATCATGAGATCGTTTAAAGGAAAAGGTTCCGATCTCAATTATTCCGAGATCTTTTCCTAATATATATGCGTTCGCTGCTCCAAAATATACCTGTTTTGCTTCCCCATAGGTGAGTGGTGGTGAATTCACAACATTTTTTGACTCTCGAGAGCCCGCCACAAAATCAGTAGAAAAACAATACTGCTGAAAAGTTTTCTCGTTACTCCATCCTAAAAAAAAATTTGTGGTTATATTCCATTTGCGCACAAGCTGAAATGGTTTTTGATTCGGACACTTTAGGGAGTAAGTGATAGATTCGGATTCGGGTAATTCATTTCTTACAGAAAATTGGTTTGAAGTAGGGGTAATTTCGGCCCATCTTACGGAGGCAAGTGCATCGTTAAACCTAACCCCAAGATCTCTTGATGTGGACAATTGAGTACGAGCAAATTCCTTGACTACTTGGAGGGCAGGTTTTGTGTTAATGTGTGTTACTTCACAGTCCACATTCCTTCCATCGACTGTGTCGTCAAATACTTTTATTATCTATGTATCATTGTTATCAATTAAAGATATCTAAGTTCAAATGAGTTTATAATTTGTATTTTATGCCACAGCCTTACCTGCTTCCCGTTGCTAACTATAGAATACAAATATATCTGTTGGTCAAATAAGACATCATTTAAATAGCATCCAGGCTGAAATTCAGTGTGGCCATCACGCAATTTCTTGATGGTGGAACGCAGATCTTTCTGTAAAGTGAAAGCATTTAATGACGATAATAATAGTGGCACAGTAAAAAATTAACAATGATAGAATGAATACGTTAAACTCGAAGTCCGTGATGTATTTTTTCTTATCAAGAAAAGTGTCGAGAACGTTTAAAATATCCAACGGGGTATAATCAAATCCTTCTTTTACTGGCTCTTTGGATTGATCCGTGAAAACGTAAATATCTTTGAATATATCTTTTAGCGTCACAAGTGTCTGGCGGAATAAAATAATTGAAAGGGAGAACGTGTTATATTTTATATAATAAAAATCTAATTTTATAAAGATGCGAAAATTGGGAGCCTACGTTCATCGCTGCACTTGCATTAAACGGTGTGCTCAAGAAGCATGCTTTGACATCATCGTACGAATGACTTTCGTTTGGTTTTGTGGCAATTCTGGCACAAGGATCTTTTAACAACGATAAAGTTGGCGTGGTATACAATGCCAACGCGATAAATAGCACGTGTATTATCATATTATTTAATTTAAGAATTTCTATTTACGTGAAAACTGCAAGAAAAAACCCGAAGGAATTAATCTTCACAACGAAAAGTATTTAAACAAGATACGCTTTCTATTTAATCGTTTCTGAATAACCATGTATTTCGATTAACCTCGTATTAATTTTTCACTACATGGTGCCATTATATTATAACCGATAATATGACTCCCAAGTAAGGATAGTTACATTATATTATAATTTATTATTACCGCTAAATTTGGTATTAGTATCGAAAAAAATTTTTATGAATATATTATATGCATGTTGGATTCTTGAGATGTTTTTAACAAGGGTATATGGGAATTTGCTAACTTTTGTATAGCCTTATCATTTTAATTGTTTCTATTATTCTTTTTTTTCGAAGATAATATAAAATGATCGACTATGGGCCTATATCATGTGATTTGTTTATTTTTTTATTGGATTGTCTAAATTTGGAATATTGTCTCTGTCAAACAAATGAAGTTAAAAACAAGACAAAAATAAATATTTATTGACAAACCACGCTCAAATTTGTAAGTAAAGACACATACGGCCCAATAAACACATATTGGATAATCCTTTATGAACAAATAAGATTTACAGTACAATAGAATTCTAGCAAATAATAGCATCTTCACTTACCAATTAATAAAGATATCGACATTATTATTTTGATGCAAAATATGGGTTCGATTTATAAATAGTTTTGTTAAAGTTGATATAATCTTAATAATTTTTTGGCAAAATAAAAACTTACATAATCTTCAAAATATAAGTTAAATATGTTTTTTTCAAGATGTGTTTCGATTTTAAGCTGTGCTCTCTACCAATAAACACACTTCTAATTACCACTGCTTTTCTTGACAAAGATTTCATGGTTTTCTTCATAATTTATGAGTAACTTTCTTTTTACACCTAATATTGAATTAGATAAATTTATTAAAGATTATTTTCTATAAAAAGTATTTATTCTTTAATTGAAGAATTCTTTTCTTTTGTTATTGTATAGCAATTTTTTTTAATATTAAGTTATTACTAAAACTAATAGCTTGCCACAACTATTATTATGTACTGAATATATTTATTATTAAACAATTAATTAATTTATAACTTTTATATACATGACACAAAAAATCATAATATATAATTGTATCTATAGTATTAATATATTGTTGATTTTTCACTATTTATTTTTGATGTTTTAACAAAGGTTTTACGATTTTTAATTTTTTATGTTGAATAAATAAATATTATTTCTTTGTTTGTTTGTATGTATCAAGATATATATATTTTAAAAGAAAAACATCACTTATATACAAAATATAATAGATTAAATACTTGTTTGCCTATAATAACTTTATAGTGTCTAATTATAAATCATAGTTATTTTTAATCTATTTATTTTAGTTTATTTTTAAATCCATAATTTTATTATTATTAAAAAGCATATATAATTACAAAATTTAATAAAAACATATAAAAATATATTGTTATATATTGTTTTTATCTAAAATATATATATATAAACAAAAAACCAATAATATGGAAATATTCTGTTTAAAAAAATCAATGTACCATATAGCACTTACTAAAATACCCCCTAATAAAATATCCCTTTGTATGATATAAGGGTATTATTCAACTTTAAATAAAGATATTTTTAAATAATATCCTTGATACTAAATAAATAAAATATCTATAAAAATATCTAATTTGATAAGCAATTACTAATTTTATTTGTAGATCATTATTTATTTATTATTATATCAATCTTATAAACTAATAATTAAAATTGTGTACTCAGGTTTTAGAACAGTACTTCCAATCATATTTATTAGAAATTTTTTTACTAAATTATTTATCCAAATCATCTTATAGATTATAATAATTACATGATATGTTAATTTTGCAAAGATCTCAAAGTACACTATCACAAGTTTTTTTTTTAACTTGCAGCCAAGTGTATTTATTAATTGTTTTCATGATGTCAAGATATTGCATAGCCCAAATGTCTTATTGCCCAGTATATGTGTTTTCCAAATAATAACAAAGATCATTTCCTTTCCAATTATTTCCTTCCAGCTTTTACACATATTCTGATTGATAAGAGTATTACTATTAGAATTAATAATTTGTCATACTACCTCAAAATATCTTCTCACTTAAATCATTTTTTCCAAAAGCTTGACATTCTTTTCTCTTTCAATATTTGCTTATTTTTTAGATTCTGTTGACTTCTGTTTTCTCTGATCATTATTATGTGACTCAAATGGTCCTATTGATGTGTCATCTTGCTTTCTTATTAACATTACTTCTGTTTTGTTAACTTAATTTTTCATTTCTTCATCTGTTCTTATTTCTTCAACATCCATGATCCCTGGCTAATCTTTTGACAACATCGATAGTTCTTTTTGTGTGCTAACTGTTTAGCAAGATCTGGATTATCAAAGAGGAATTTAGTATTAAGTTCATCACTAATTTTTGTAATAATATAGTTATTCTTTCCATTTATCTCTTCTTGTTCCTTACTGCACGATGTGGATTGTTTCTTCATTATTATACTGTCTTGTTCTTTCACAACTGTTTCTTTTATTGAATTATGTAGTTTTCTGATTTACATTCTCTCTTCTCCTCAGTTTTATTAGCCTTCTTTAGATTCTTTTCAGCCATCACTGATGTTTCTTCCAATTGAAAAGTATATATTACAGGACCTGAGATCTTCAGTTATACTTTATTATTGAAATTAGAATTACTACTCATCTCTTGTCTACTTCCTCTTTATTATACTCAGTCTTTTCTTTCCTCTACTGTCTTACTTTGCACAAATTATTTTCATTATCTGTATTATAAGATTCCTTATAACCGATCTCATTAGTCAATATTTTTTTAGTTTTATTATCTAAGATTGATATCTTCTTTTTACAGATATTAACGATACTTGTTTCTCTAGATGACGTTTGCTTTCAATTCAAGTGCTCATTGGTTTCAGGCTCAATATAAGCAACAGATATATTATGTCTTGCTTTCCTTTCACTTATCTGTCACCTCGATTCTCAGTACATTCACTCATTCTTTTTTCTTAAGTCATTCTGCCACTTTCTTATGGTAGATAATTGCCCTTAACTTAATTTATTTTTTGTTATTCTACTGTCTTATGTTTCTAATTCTTTTTGCTACTGGTACTATTGTTATTTTTATTATTTTTTTTTAAACACTAGCTGGGCCTTGCCCGGTATACTTTATTAGTTTGTGATGTTTACATTAGTTATTTATAGATTTGTATACATTAATATTATAACTTCACTTTTATTTATATATCAGACTATATCAGGAGAACCAAATATCAGCTTTGAGCTATTTGATTTATTCTCATTGCAATGCAATAAGAAAAGCGATCAAAAACTAATGTACCAAGGCTTTATTAGTGTTAGTAAATAGTATATATGAATAATTGTTTTGTTTTACGTTCCATTTATAATTTGTGTACCATCTTGTCATCTTTTTGGCCCATCTCGTTGCTACTACCCACATCTTTTATTGAAATATATGCTTTTGATACATGAAGATATATAATACAACAATCAAATACTATAGCTTATCACATTAATGTTTGCTAAATCCCCCTATCAAACTTTTTAAGGCAATGCCACATATATCTAACAAGTATTATACATATATGTTTATAGTTAACTTATCTATATATGACTAGCTATATATTATTAACTTAATGCTATGTATAGATACTACCTAAACTTTTGTTTTCGGAAAGATGCGCAAATCTGTCTTAATTTTTCCCAGAACAATTTTATCCTTAAGAGTAGTCTGGTTATCAGGCCGTTGATTTCAGTATCCTGAATCCTGGTTTTCGGTCCTTCAGAGTGGTCCACGGTTTTTACCTCCCATCAAGGCCTCCCGATAATAAAGTCTGCGAAAGTCGGCACAGCCAAGTGCTTGATTAGTATCCTTCAACGCAGCTGTTAGAAATCCTTCAGCGGCACTTTACCGGTTTGGGATCTACTCTTCTTATTACCACTTCTGGCAACGTGATCGTGTCAGGAATAATCCTAGCCGATTTCGGACAATGATCGTATCACAGTCCTCTTATAGACCAGTTTTTCTATAATTGAAAACATCGGTTATTTGATTATGCTAATGGTATACAAGTTCTCATATTATTTGGGAAATCACATTAGCCCCCTAGTGGATTTGAATCTGAAACCTATGATACAGATCTATGGTGCTCTAACCACTGAGCTACAGACCCATAGGTCCTGTTGCTATTGTTATTTGAGTATCATATATTATTATTACTTATCAAATAATAATAAAATATAAATAAGGTTTTTTATTTATCTTAGTCAAATCTAAATATTTTTGAATTTAAACAAGTTAAAATTGTATTATATGTATATTGATCAAGAAAAATGTAATTTTATAAAATCTTTATTTTCTTAGAAACTATTAATATTCTAAATTTATTTAACTATAATCTATATCTTTAAATATTCTATATATCTGAAGAATTTGTTTCTTGTTCAATATAATAGTTATTCCCAATACTATTACTAAGGTCAATTACTTCTATATTTTCATTATTATTTTTTAACACTTCAATATTATTGCTTGTTGAATTTGGTATCTCAAGAATTTTATTATCAAATATTAACTTATCTTTAGTTCTATTTTAATTATTAGAAATATCATAATATTTGAATAAACATTGAATTAAGCCAATATCAACTGCATTTCATGAAGTATTAATTCAATTTGCAATAGTCTTATAAGAAGGTTTTTTAATTTTACTGATAGGTGTTAGTTTTTTTATAGAAAGCTTTAAACAAACTCTTCCACTTTGAAAAACTCTCCACTGACTTTATTATAGATCCTGAGTCACCAGAGCCAGAGCTGACTCTTCTACCAACATTATTTTAAACAATGACTAGTCTGCCTAACTCAAATCATTCTTTGAACAACAAATCACAAAACCCTTT